AAAAAAAAAAACAAACCCCAAAACAAAGCACACCACACTAGCTGTCTTCCCCTCCCCCACCAAGTGTTCTCTGCAGAGAAAGGTATCCTATTACATTGTCTGAAAGGCACTAGTTGTTTTCAGAGGGCAACACTGGGACATAGGGGAATGAGAAATCTACAATCAGTTTCTCTAGCTCAAAATCAAGATGTCAGCAGGGCGGGTTCCTTCTGGAGAGAATCTCTTTTCCTACCTTTTCAGTATCTTCTGGCTGCCTATATTCCTGGTCCCTTGGCCCTTCCTCCATCGTCAGAACACATCACTCCATAGTCCCCGCCTCCCTCATCATGCCACTCTCTCCACTGACTATGACCCCTCCTCTATCCAGATTATAAGGACCTTTGTGAAGACATCAGGCCCATCTAGGTCATCCAGGACAATCTCAAGTTCCTTAACTTAATCACATTTGCAAAACTTCTCTTGGCCCCAGAAGTTACACAGGTTCTGGATATGAGGGTATGGACATGTTAGGCAGCCTTCACTAGTATACCGGATGGAGGAGGCAGTCAAGCAGGCTAGTCTGGCCAGGGTAGAAACAGGAGCCAGAAAAGAGCCCCAGCACCTGGTGGAGGCCAAGGGTCAGGGGGCAAGATGGAAGGTTAGGTGCTATGACAAAGGACACAGGAGGGAGTAAATCCCAAACTGTGTGCAAGGTCATGAGCTAAGTCTGACTCACGGGGAGTTCGCCAAGGCCAAAGTAGGACCCAGGGTGCTTGGCTTCACCTGACACAGAGGTGAACCCCTGCCCACTGTGGAGTGCAGAATGAGCAGCGGACAGGCAGCAGAGATCCACCACACAGCAATGGCAACTGAGATTTATTTAAACAACAAGTCCACAGAAACAGGAGTGACGACCTTCATAACTGAGGTTTCTCAGAGTGTGGGATGAGATCAGTACCTCGGCCTGGCCATCACTCAGGGAGCTCAGCGTAGCTCCTCCGGGAAGGCTGGTGGTGTCAGTGTCTGGCTCAGCGTGAGCCTTCATCAGACTAAGTTATCTCCTTCAAACCTAAGGGTAGGAAACACAGATGCTGGTAAGAGACTCTGGCAGCGTGGAGCAGATGAGACAGAGCTGGGGGAATGTAACCCTGCTGTGGACCCTGCTGACCCCCAGTGACTGGCTCTGGGGCACCAGTCACACATCTGACTCCTGCAACTCTGCTCTCCTCTTTTTGTTTCTTGAGACAGAGTCTCACTTTGTTGCCCTTGGTAGAGTGCCACAGCATCATAGCTCACAGCAACCTCATACTCCTGGACTCAAGCAATCCTTGTGCCTTAGCCTCCCAAGTAGCTGGGACCAAAGGTGCCCACCACAATGCCCAGCTATTTTTAGAGATGGGATCTTGCTGTTCTTCAGGCTGGTCTTGAACTTGTGAGCTCAGGCAATCTACCTGCCTTAGCCTTCCAGAGTGCTAGGATTACAGGCGTGAGCCACTGCACCGGCCTATGGGTGGTTTGTTTTTTTTTTTTTTT